AGGATTCTTCACTATAACAGATCATACTTTTTTATCTCGAAATTTATCAAATTAAATTATTATTTTTCCGACTTTCCGTTGAGATAAAAAATACTAATTGCAGTCTGGAGTCTGGCTACGATTGCTCTGAACAAAACTCTAAAGCATTGGTTCTACAAACTCTAACTCTACTCTTTACCGGTATGTAAAACTCTAAAGCACAAACGATGGGCCATGCCTCTCAAATGGGGCGTAGACAATTTGAGGGGATGTGAAGCTAAATAAAAATATTTGTTGGATTAGACTAGATCTTGCCCGTCTTATTTTGGATATTTACATTAAAGTTTAATCATTGATGACTTAACAAGGTAAGTCTGACTTAATTTGTTAAGGTATCAATGGTTTAATATTTACGAATCATCCAAGTATTTTCAACGTGTTTTTGAATAAGACATATTGACTAAAGTTTAATATAATATCGAGATAAGTAGTTCTTAAACGGTTGGGCAATATTTTGAGGGGCCGTGAAGCTAATTCAAAATAAAAATATTTGTTACTAAATCTTGGTGAAGCATTCAAAACATACTTAAAACCTTTCATTCATTTCACTATTTACCTTCCATCCACGTATTTTCAACTTGTTTTTTTTTTTATAACTAAGACATACTTTCGCTTTACTATATGTTATTTGTATTTTAGAGGTGGGCGCGAGACTCGACAAACTCTAAAAAGGGGGCGCGGATTAAAAGGTTCGAGAACCACTGATCTAGAATCTAGATGGTTTCTGCAATCAGGTGAAATTCCTTCGCAAAAGGCTGAGATATCGCGTGGTGCTCTATTATTTTAATTGATAAATATTGAATACACTCATATCAAAATTTATTGTCCCCCCTATTTAACCCATTTGGGGTTTCAGGTTTCCATAAAATCGTATAATTTAATACTTGATTCGTATTAACAGTTCTTTCATAAAATATCATAAATTAGAAAGCATGCCTTCATTATGCTGTTTTGAGTCCACCTGCTCAACGGATTATTGCAAGTGTGGCAACGACTGGAAATCTAACATCGCGAAAAGGGTAGTTAGTACCTGTGATTAACCTTGGTTTATCTAATTACTGCGCAGCTGGGAACGAATTCAACTGTACCCTAACCCAGGGCTTCCCAAACTTTTGAGCTCGCGGCCCCTTTTAATATATTAAAATTTTTCGCGGCCCTTGTCCACGTTAAATAATGCCAAACAGTTCGAATTATGCATTTTTGATGTTTTATTGGCACAGCCAATTCTCAACTCACGTTTACTCAATAACAAAAACAAGCACATATTTATTCAGATTAACGTTTCTCAATTATTCAGTGTAATGGGTACGAATTCTTTTTGCTGCGTAGCAAGGCTCAATGTATGTTTATACAGGCCTAAATGATGAATTACGATGTCTGGCTACCGACGACATTGTCCTTATCTCGAATTGTTCACTCTTATTGATCAAACTTAGCATAAGGCAGGATTTTGTGCGACGCCAAATTATCAGGGAAAAAACTCATGGCGCACCTACACGTAAAATATACTGCCTCGAAACAAAACACAATTTTGTCATTGTTAATATGTACTAAATGTCTTTTGAGGTTTTTAATCATGTAGGCCCGAGGAATAAAGGCAAAAAAGCAACGTTTCTTTTTTTTTTATCTCTGTTCAATTTTTCTTTAAAATGCTAAAGAAATCACTCAAGTTTGATGAACTCGGTTCAGCAAATGAATAGACTGCTCAACGAAAGCCTATACGAAATTGCAGCATGTAGGGTTTATCTGTTATATTACGTAACAATAGACCCTACCTACAGAAAGTAAGCACATAGAACGGCAAAATGACTTTGATTCATAAACACTTCATTTGAAACAATGGAACATTCAGAATAAATATGGTGTGTAATATGTTTCGAGGCGCACTCAGCAAATTGTCCTCGGAAAGCGCTAGCTTAACGATTAAAGCCGTCATTGTTATGCAAACCCGATCATTCACCGTGTTTCCCCGAAGATAAGACCAAGCCTGAATTTTAAAACGGATTTCAATATAAGCGCTCGCCTTTAAAAAAGACTTAGTCGATAGCGCAACTTTTTTTTGACTCAATCACGTGGAGGTGCGTCGTTTCAATTTTGCTAGGACGTCGCAAAATTTCGTGATTCGTGAACCTTTCAAACAACCCATATCTTCTACTTTCACTGGAAAAAAGAAAGATTAAATCGATCTTACCTGTGATGTTGCTATAATAAGAAAGTTTAATTCTGGAAATTCGGTTTTCTGTAGATAAAGATTATTTGTCATTGGTTCAAAAAACGTTGCGCACTCCCATCTTCTTCGCGATTTCATATTTATATAAAGCAGGCTTTTCTACCAAGGCCCATTATTGCGATTTCACTGACTGTCGTTAAGTTTTGTTGTTCGTTTATATGAAACTCATTGCGAAAAAGGTCTTTTATTAAAAGGTATCAATACGTATTTTCACGGGTCGCAACTTGAGCATATTTTTGAAGGGCGTCACAATACGATGAAGTTCGAGAACCACTGCGTCCCAGTCGATAGCAAGAAATATTTTCTACTTTTTTTAAATGGTTAATAGTCTATATGTAGCAGTTATTTTAAATAAAAACGTGCTATTTACAAGTAAACGGAAATCGGTATACATATTTGTATAATAAAAAATCTCATTTTTCTCTATCCCAAAAATAAGCCTGAGTGTTATTTTCGAAAGAAAATTGAAGACAGTGTCTTATTTTCGAGAAAACACGGTATTATGATGATGTTATCACTCGGAATCGTGAAATATTTTTTTTACACTATTTTAATTGTATTTCGAATCAAGAGTCTGAAAAAGTACAATATATATGGTACTTTGTGTAAAATTGGTGTTCTCTTCGCGGCCCCTAGAATTCGCTTCGCGGCCCCTAGTTTGGGAAGCCCTGCCCTAACCGAAGGAAATTGCACAGTTTGCGCGGATCTTGGAAAAAATAATGAGTGTAAAGAACTAGGTAAGGCATGTTCAGTTAATTATGTAATCCCAAGACACTTCACCTTCGTTTATAACTATTTGCTTACGGGTCATACGATGCAAAAGCAAAAAAGATAGGACAGTAGTTATGGTCATCAATATAGCATATTTGCATAAGCAGTAGTTTAGTAGCATTATTTTGAATTGACTAAATAACTTATCTATCTAAAAGCAAAAATCAGAAAATATCCCTGGCCAAGCGAGGCTTGTCTGGGCCAAAGCGTATATATAATATAAGCGTGACAACGCTCAGACAATGGACGCCATCTTGTGCCTATTGTTCTCGGCAATTTAACACGGCGCCTTATGAGAAGTTCCAACACAATTGTTGAAACATACCTATTATTTTCACTAATATTTTAGGTAGAAAGAGGTCGCGTTTTGAAGTAGAATCTTAGCCGTACATGCTTATATCCTTTCATATTTGCCAAATTACACTTATAGTGCATTAAATTGTCTTTGAAGACAAGTGTACCGGTTCCAAGTTGCTTTCGAAGTAAATTGGCCATTCTAATCGTCATAATTAATCATTCGACAATAGCGTTCCTTATGACGTCACATATGAAAAGTTGTATTTATTTGTCGAAATTACCGGCCGACCCAACTTTGCTTCAATGGCCGTTTCTATTTTCTGGTTAACATATTTCGATAATGCCCTACTGCTCAGCTCCAAGCTGCGCTAGAGGAACAAATGACATTGTAGGATTGTTGCGGAGACATTTTACCGCCTCAAATTGGCGTATCACTATGAAATCTTTGAAAAAATGACCAAAAATGGTTCTACGCTGTGTTTGTGGTCAAATTTAACGCATTAGATAGTTTTTCATTCCTAATTGCGTTATATATTTAGGTAGCATATATCTTAAAGTTTAAAATCAACCCTTCAGTTACATTCTAGCCCTTATAACAGCGGACTTATTCGATTCGGTACAACAACACGACGAAAATTTACCTTGAGACACCATTGTTTTGCGTTTTCCAAATATGGCACAAGATGGCGTCCATGAACTTGTTTAACATTAGGCAAGTTGGTTGCCGGCCGTTGGTCTGGGCAGGCAATCACCTTCGCAGACTACTCGATTATGTTGTAATAACGTGCGTAGAGGCACACTGTCAATTATAGCAAATTAGGAAACGTTGATAAACCGTACGTCGTTCGAGTAATTTGAATAGGTTTTCAAAATATTAATTAGGGAAGACCGGCTTCAGGTCCGCGACGGCGACGAAAAGAAACTTTCATGATGGCGCGGCAAGAACTCAATTCAGAACTTGTATTATATACACGTAAGGCAACTTGAGCCGCTCAAATCTCGAGCTACAAATAAGATATTCAACAGTACTTGACTTCATCGACGCCTTAAATTCGTTTGTTCAAAAATTTGAAAATTGGAATCAAAATTATGAGAGTATCTGATGTTGATTTGGAGCTGATGAGGAAGCCGTTTTCAGTTCCAGTGGAAAAACTTGTCGATGATTAATCAGGCGAGCTTTTCACATCATAATCAACTCCGCCTGTAAAGCTATGTTTGAGATATTATCTGCGTGTTTGTGGCAAGGCTGTATGTTTCTTCAAATTTTACTATGCTGCACTCTTATTCATCTCGTCTACACAAATCACGGCAGCCTGATTTCCGGAAATATGTCAGTATTTAGTTTGACGTAATTTGCAACTCCCATGACTTTATCCGACTTAAATTAACTTTATAAACCTTTCAATTTTATGTGATTGTGGAATATGTTTGATCTAGTAGCATTGGTTGAGTCTTGGCTTTTATAATGAGACTGAATATTATTTAATGAAAAATATTATAGGATATTATAGAAGAATTGTAAATCATGAACTATATACAGTGCAACTTTGGTATGCAATCTCAGCGCTTGTTTGATCACAGTGATTTTAGAATGGGTTGAGAACTAAAATCTATAAGAATGTCTTCATGAGATTAGACGCATATCATGAGCGACTGTGTTCACTCCCATTGAACATGAGATTACGTACCAAGGTTAGTTTTATGACGCTGAGATAACGCAATCGTACACTATATACATTTTTATTTTATTCGTATATTCAACTTGATATTATAGAAAGAGTGTATCAAGTTACCAGTCACTCTTGTAGGCAGACGCAAAAAAAAGATTATAACTTCATATACAATCAGCATAAATTGTTCGAAGTGGTAAAATTTTCACGATTTGATAGATTACGCCTATGCTAAAAATATCAAATTTAACGACTTGGTCTGACCCAAAATATGTTAAAAAATATGACATACTCAGTTCACGGAAGTTGGCGCTTTATTTTTAGAAAGAATGGACATAAAACAAACGTGATACAAAATCGAAAATCAGTTGTTACCGCGGTCTCTACTGAATGTGCACAGAATTTATCCAGTTTGTGATTTTGACAAATTGGGGTAGTCGCCATGGGACTGTTCACTTTCATTCTGCCTTTCCTTCTTATTGGAGCATATGTAGGTGAGTAAAGTTTAGATGGCAAATTTAAGTTTATAAGTTTAAACAACGCCAGGACAAGAAACTACGCAAATATGCTTTAGTTCTACGTTATTCAATACTATGATTCCTAATTTTACAGAAAAAAGTATTTTATTTATTCAAGTGATTTTGACATTGTTTCTATACATAAATATATTACATTTCTTTGCAGCTGGCATTTCAACGGATTCGAATGAATTTTGTGATAGCAATGATTATGGATTCTCTATCAAGGTAAAACATTTATATGCAAAATAATTAGCACATTGGGCATACCATATTTTATCTACCGGTATATTTATGCCCACTGTTCATGCATGTTTATCAGTCAATAGGAATGAATGAGAAAAATGAAAGTTTCGCAACCTATGTATATTTTATCTTCAACATTTTCCGAATACCAGTTAAATACTAGCGTATGCATGAACAATTACCCAAATTCAATCTCTGAAATACTGTCTATTTTTCAGCTGACCAACGAGCAGGGTGAGTAAAAATATCTTGGGGTTTCAATATGTTTAATAAAATGACAGGTTAATAAACACTCGTAGTGTAATAGAGTTTTCTGATTTGTCCATATTTTTGCTGAGCGTTGAAAATGGTACAATGATTAGTATTAAAATAATAGACAATATTATAGACATGTTAATCAAACATTCACTTCAGCTCCCACTATATTCGTGCTTTGAATCTATGCAATTTTAATGTCGCAAGTGACGTAGGATAGCGAACCAAAATGAACTTATAAAATAAACTACGTAAAACCAGCTAAAGCTTGCCTACAAAGTCACTCAAAAGATTTAATACATTCTTGATGGTTACATCAAACGTCGATTTGAAAATAGGTCGAACGCATGTGAACAAACTAAAATGTTTCAGAGCTATTGAACGAATATCATATAAAATTATGACCATAGGGAACCTCTCTCGGCACCAAACAAAGAGAGCAGAATGATAGATGAGTCAGACTGGGTCGCATTATACATAAAAGCGTCACGAAAGTTGCAACTGACGTCACGCTGAGAACTGAAACAAACCAAGAAAGATGACTCTCGCTTATTTTAAATTTAAATGAATCCATATATTTAAAGACGTACATAACTTATGCAAAATACAACATTTTAACTTATTGCTTAGGCCATAGAATATCAACACGTTCATTATGTATATACATGTTAGATCTAAGGTTCAAACTTGAAGAAAAAGTAACGTCCATTCTGATGAAAAATCAGCTCCGGGACATCACGATTGTCACATATATAACTCGTGTAGACGATTTAAATCCTGCAACGCCTGTCCCAGTGAGCTTCAGCATCCGTGAAGAGACGATGGTACCTAATAAGTTTCCGACATCAAGTGTTCGTGTAGGAAAGCAACAAACCTTTATCACGAACCATCCAACAAAGACGATATCAGTCACTCCAACAATGAAAGTAATGTCAAACTCAGCCACAAAAACACAAAACATCACTGATGAAAATGATTTGACGGATAATAAAACTGTCTTAAATAGTACCGATGAAATGCATAAAGACGACGGTACCGTGTACTTACACAATCCTACAAGTACCTATGGCAGTTCCACAAATCGTCCAAACGATGAAACAACATCAATAACATATGAAAATTTAACAAGCAAGATTCAAACAACAGTTAAAAGCACAAGTGACACGATTAACACTGCTGTCTCTACTTTAATCCCAGGTAATCAATGTCATCTTATATAGCTACATTGATACCTTTTTGCCATTTCAGATCGATGACAGGCATAGTCAATCAATGTGTGTTTTTATTCATTTATTCGTAGATGAAGAAACACAAGATCGAGCAACAGTTACTCCGAATACCGTCAAAGCTACTGAAGCGTCTAACTTGAGAGACACTACTATTGGAAACAGCGTTGAATCCAGCGGATTTGAAATTTCAACTACTTTTATTACACAAAGCGAAACTACAAAAAGTTTTGATACCACTATCAGGATTGGTAAGAATTTGATTATTTGAAAGATTATATCATTCTTATGTTGGTCAGTAATCGTACAACTTCCAACACATACGTCATGTTTCCATGAAACTCATAACCCTTTTCATTTCTAGACCAACAGTGCGAATACGAGTTTGAATCAATTTGCTACTGGACAGTAGTTAAACCTACCCAAACTTTAAATTACGAGGAAGCGATAAAGATGTGCAACTCAAAAGATTCAGCATTGGCTCTCATTCCCAACAGTCAGGTTTACAATATAATAACAACTATGATACGATCAAAGATTCCGGCTCACGTTGAAAACGTTCGAATCTGGACTAAGTTACAAATAGATCCTCTGGTGAGTATTGGCTAATACCCCGTCGAACTTTAAAGCTTAGTCTTATTGATTTTAGTTACACATGTTTTCTGAGAGTTTACATCGGCATCAAAAAATGAGAAGAATATGGCGACCACTATAAATAAAATCTTTCTAGTAGTTGGATTCACCCTTCTGTATATAATAATATATTTCTGATCGATGGCGTTAAAGATTGATGACAAGACATTTGCAGATCAGTTAATGTTTTCCATCCTTGCACCACGGACAAATTACTAATTTAAAGATTGAAGTTCAATTTAAAATCATTGATTCGAATTTACTGAAAAATGGATGGCCCAATTTAATTTGAAAAATATTTTCTCACAGTTTTGCCTTATTTACTAAATAATTAAGTGAACTACGGGAAAAGTAGCATTCATGTATAAATGTTGCAACTCGATACTGAGTGTTTTTCTTTTGTTCAAAAATAAGAGACTCTTCGAGACATCATCATTCACGATAACATTGAGTATTGTTTGTTTTTTAGACCGGCGACACAATTCCCGCGAATGCTTACACAATGTGGCTTCCAAATCGGCCTGCTACAAGCGAAGACAACGTAGATAAAACACATGTATACCTTGTAATCAACCGGGATCCGACCTCTACAGGGCAGGGAATGGCGAACATGTCTCCACAAAAAGAGATTCATGGGGTCGCTTGTCAGTTGCAAGTAAATGAAGCAATAGAAGCAAGATCTCTCACCACGCAAAAAATTACGTCATCATTTGAAGGTTTGCAATTGACTAACACAATAGTAATGGCTGGGAATCAACACACTATGCATACAAGCATAGAAAAGGTTGTAATTTCAACGGAGAAACCGATCTTGGACGAGTCTACTACCGGAAAAAGCGTGGATTTCAGAGGTATTGCCATATTTCACATCTGCGAGTTTTACCCTCCTTGTCTCTTTTGATTTATTGATGTGACGTCTTATACCCCTTTGACATTCTATCTTTAATCATGTATTTCTCTATTGTTTGATGGGGTATCAAATTCCTATCTCAACTCTCATGTTCTTATCTTTATCAGTTCTATATATTACATTTCTCACACAACTTCGCTTTTACTATTCTTTATTCAGGTGGCCCAACGTGTGAATATCAGTTCGAGTCAATTTGCTACTGGACAGATGTTCACGACTTCAAAATGATCAATTATAGCCAAGCCCAGGAAAAATGTCTTGAAAGAAATTCCACATTGGCTTCGATTGCGAACGATGAAGTGTACAATAATATAATAAACCTGCTACGATCAAAGGTGACGTCAGGTCAAAACATGTTCTTCTGGATTGAATTGCAAATCGAACCTCTGGTTAGTATCATTATCTTCAGCAGAAGTGCGTTGTTTTACCTTTGGGGGGATGCATAAAAATTTAAAATTAGATTTTAGTTGTTAGCTGTTTTTAGTTGCTAGCTGTTTAGCTTGTGGCTCTTGATTCGTAAGCTATTATAATGCTGGCTTTATCTATGGGGTGCGTTATAATGATATGGTGTGAGTAAGGCATACTTACACATTAAACATAGCATAATTGGTGTCAACAAAATATATAAATATAGAAGAATTTTAACTCACGAGATTCCCACGTTACAAAAGACAGTAGAGAAGCGTTGACATCTAACGCAGTTGAATCTTCACTCTTTTACTGCAGCTTTTGTTTTCCAATCCCAGTACATACCGACGATGTTAATCTTAATTACCCCTGGATTATCATTTGTTTTTAGACCAATGTGACTACTCCTGCTAACGCTTACACCAGATGGTTTCCGAATTTATCGTATCTTGGAGGTAGACGTATCGATAGTACACATGTCTATCTGGCACTCAACCGGGATCCAGTTTTCTCCAACCAAGGGATGGTAAATAACAAACCCGAAACTTTGAACAATGGGATGGTTTGTCAATTTCAAAAAAATTAATAGGGATGGCAACTCTACAAACATAAACTGCAAATATTGATGAGTAATGAACTATCTTTGTAAGATTATTTTTTTTATCGCAAACTGCAAGATGTTTTCATGGCAGTCGCGAAATGTCGAAAATCTCAATATTCTGCTGTCCTGTAGCATTTTATGCATTCATTAATTTCAGTATAATTTTTGTTCAGTATTTCATAATGTACTTGAATTTATTGTTAAATAAAGATTCGTAAAATGAATTTTTTTTGAATTGATAATAAAACAAAGAATGTTTGCAGTGCTTCGTACTTTTATTCAACTGCATGATGAAAGCAGATATATGCCAAATAGGAATAAAAGTTTAAGGAAGTGTGTAATGGATTATCATATACTTCAAAACACATACTGCCCATATTTTGTTTGTATCTCTCTTGATACAAAATTCATATATATCAAATTTTTCTGGATAATTTTCATATTAAATATGGAGTTAGAAATAAAGTTCCATAATAATTTCATTTATTGTAAGACTCAGACTGCAGATTAAAGCACATCATTACAGCACATCATTCACCGCTATTTTATTAAGATTTGCAGATGATATTTGGTTAAATATAATATAGCTAATATAACTTCTATATAGATGTAATCTACATCTGATAATTTGTGGAGAACATCTTCAATTGTGCAGTGGGGAAAAGAAGAGATGGATACACCAAACAAAGCCAGTGCTCCTCCAGTACTACCAAAACGCAAAAGTCCAACCGATCGACAAATGCGTTCAACTGCATCAATGACTACCAAAATTGAAGTTGATGACATCACCAATCTTGTCACTATACTGGAAAGTACAGTTTTAGAAACATTGCGTCTGGAGATCCCTACCATCATTCCAGCAACACCTTGAAAGAGCTTTCAATGCAAATTAGACAATTGCCAATACTCCAAATTTGGAGAATTCATTAACATCATTGAAAGAGTCAATAAATGAGATAAAATCAGAGGTAACATCCTTTACTGAAATCAAAAACGAAATCCATGAAATCAAAATAAGCCTGGATTTCGTGTCGAAAAAATTCGATGAGTTGAGATCAAACCAAATCGAGCTCAACAAAATTGCAACCAAAACAAAAAAAAGAGTTATGGAACTAGAACATCTTGTGGAAGAGCTAGAGGAAGAAATTGATATATTGACTGAGCGACAACAAGACCAAGAACGTCGTTCCAGATTGGATAATCTGGAATTTCACAATATACCTTATTCAACCGGGGAAAATTGTGAAAATCTAATTACCAAGTTATGCAAAAAAATTGATGTCGCTCTGCAATCTTTTGACATCTCAAACTGCCACAGGATGTCAAAAAACAACAGGAAAAAGCCATCACCAATTATTGCAAAGTTTATAAACAGAAAAACAAGAAATCAAATATTGACGAATCGACGCAGACTGAATACCTTAGACATCTCTACAGTTTATCCGAGCGTTCCTAGATCTACCAAAATTTTTGTCGTAGAAAATCTATCCGACACGAACAAAGATTTGTTCTACAAAGCCAGAGATCTAAAGCATGCCTGTGGCTATAAGTTCCTGTAGACCAATAATGGCAAAGTGCTTTTTAAAAAGAATTCAGACACTTCTACCATTCCAATCATTACGGAGGAGGACAAAGTAGGTTCGTGTATTGTATATAAAACATGTTTTTCGTTCATTCAATTGCTAATTATTTCTTCTAGTTCTATATAGGCCGCGAGCCGAGGCCCTGAAAAACGCCTAGAAAGTGAGTTTCGTAGCGCACTTCAGGTAACTACCTAAAAATGATTTTAAAATGTTCCTTAAAAATTTAGTAACAAATATTGCCTTGTTCCCACTTTCAAAAGTTGCACGTTTTACGGAAAACACGCTTTTACTACAAGAAATATGAGCTACGGTCTATCCTATATTCTCTAGATTTTCGGCAATGAACAATGACTTCTCCATGACGTAACAATTGAATCGAATCAGCTGTTAGCAAGCGGATGAATATTATTTATTACTGCTCGACCTTGCGTTGAGTTGGGCAGCCTTTTCATAGCCATGTTTAGTTATTATTAGTTAAGTTATGCTAAGACGTTGTTGAAAAATGTATAAGTAAGTTATTAAACACTTGTAGATCCTCACCACTGATATGGGCCGTGAGACGAAGCCTTGAAAACGCCCAAAAAATGAGTTTCGTAGCGCACTTCTGGTAACTAAATAAATTCTTCAGTTTTGTGTAAAAATGAACATACTGAACGCATTACAGCTTGTACCACAATCCTGATGCGAAATTGAATATATGAGGTTCCCGGAAATTCAATAACCATAAGTTTACAACACATACATAAGAACTATGCAATTCGAGAGCCCTACATCACACCAACACAAATGTATTCCTGTAATGTTTTGCCTGACCAAAATCGGACTTCCTCAGTCAATCATAATTTATTAGGTAGATTATGAAAAATATGGCATACATGTAATGTAACCAACAACGAAAAATACTTTAATTGTGTGACAGGAGTCGCGAATGACCTTGAAAGCAGCGACACTAACAACGCTGATTCACATTAGCGAATAATACATCCATTTTATAGAAGCTATCAAACGTATTTATTTTTAAGCAATGAAGTCACAAATGAATGTACAATATGTACATAACATAGTGAACAGAAATATTACAATTAGTCTTTTTTTAGTTCATGTGGTTATGTATTTGAACAGAGGCAATATTATTTCTAGAAACAGGACTACGACACTAACAAATGTCCGAAAAAAATAAATGATACTTATTAAATAAACTGCAATATCTAATTCACTTTCTTCTGAATTGTTGACAATCGAAATCCACTATCTCGATAATCGACTTTTCCTCTACAAGTGTACTGTGATTTTTGCAGTCAATACGAAAATAAAATTTTTTTTGGCACACTTGCATAAGTTATTTTGACTATTTTCTTACACTTGCAGTTTGCAAATTTTGTTTGCTGATTTGAGGGTCACATGTTTTTTCAGTGAATCATTGTTGGGTGGGAGAGTATAATCCCTATGTTTGCCAGTGTTAAATAGACGTGCCCTGGTATCATTTACATTCTTCATATCCTCTTCGTACAGTGAACAAACAAATTCCTCAGCTTTATTTATTAATGCCTCGTTAACCTCAAAAGATCTTCATAGTTGAGGAAAAAAAGAATTGAAAGCCTCAATGAAGTCTCCAACATGAGTTTGATGGGCAGTTCCAATTACAGAAAAGTGCTAAAGTATTTCAATATGAATAGCCCATCTAAGCTGTTTGCAACTATTATGATTCTCATATACCTTTACGCTTCAAGACTTCTTGTTTAATCCATTTTATAGCACTGATAGCAGCAGGGATTAGAGCCTGCGTCAGGTCGGATTGGTGGAACATTGCCGTTTTCTTTTGTAGTACAGAATCTAAAATGAGGAAGAAAATAATATTTGGAACAGCATGAGTGTAAGAATACTACTAAATACTAACTAGGCCTAATACCTTGAATACACAATGCATTTTATCTGATGTACTCAATCGTATATATTCGCATTGCATGTACTACAGTCCAGCAGTGTTTGCATACCATTACTAGACTATATCTACACTAAATTTTAATATATCACAGTCTGAAATGACCAATGACAGTATGAGTATGGACTATAGACTATATTCCAAAACATCAACTGTCTGTCTACAACTTGATTTCTCACCTCTCAATCGTTTCCAATGCTACTTTCTTTCCACTCCGGCATAACTTATTAATGCTTCCCAGGTTCTTGTCGACTCTATGAATTTAGATTTAAACTAACCGACATTAGTAAAATTGATTATTTTATTCTCTTTCACACAACCGTGCATTACAGAAACAGCCATTAATTTCTATTTCCAAATATGCTGTGGCCTATATAGTAGTATAAGTCTGCTGAATAGTCAAGAAGAGTCATTAAACTAATCATAAACATTTCATGCAAGCCAGAAATTATCGTTGTTTGTGACATATTATTCTAGGTCTAGCCTTCCTTGGAGTTACCGCACCGTACCTATTAAACAACGTCTTACGAGCTAGTGGTCAACTAAAATTGCTATTTATGGTAAGGGTATACAAGTGTTTAATATCTTACTTATACTTTTTAACACCTCTTTAGAATAACTGAACTAATAATAACTGAAAAAAACTATGGAAAGGCTACTCAACGCAAAAGCGAGCAGTAGTAGTACATCTGATATTCATCCGACCACTGGGGATCCACCTACAGCTGACTAATTTGATCGTTACATCATGCAGAAGTCTGCGTTTATTGACCCATGATACCAGAAAAGCAGAGAAAATAGGACAGATGGTAACACATATTTATTGTAGTAAAAGCGTCTTTTCTGTAAAACGTGCAACTTTTGGAAGTGGGAACAAGGCAATATTTGTTACTAAATTTCTAAGGAACACTTTAAAATCATTTTCAGGTAGTTACCTTATGTGCGCTACGAAACTGAAAGATTAATGGCCTCGGCTCGCGGCCTAATATAGGTAAATGTCGATTAATCAAGATTACTTTTTAGACCACTATGATAATGCAAACAGTTTGAAACACCTAAATTTAATTGATGGTTGCCAGTGCAGCAACATAGAAGTATCTGATTTAAAAAATATTCGAACTGATTCAGACTTATCAGTCATTGATATAAATATTCGCTCTATTCGAAAAAATATTGGTCAACTATCTGCACTATTATCCAATTTCTCCCCTTCTCCTCACATAATAGCTTTAAGTGAGACTAAATTACACAGTAATAACTCTGACAATATAAGCATTGATGGCTACAGATTTATACACGCACCTTCTGCTTTCAAAGCAGGGGATGTTGGTGCTTTTATTAGAAACAATATTAAATTTACTGTGACAACTGAATATCATTTAAATTACTCCAATTGCGAAGAATTGTGGCTTGAAATAAACCTCAAAACTATTGACAGTAAATTGATACTTGGTATCTTATATAAACATCCAAGAAACGATATTCATACTTTTACTAGTAATTTTGAGAACTGCCTTACAAAAATGACAAAAAAAACTTTTATGGTAGTGGGAGATCTTAACATCAATCTTTTTGCATCAGAATATAGCACGCAAATTGCCAATTATAACAATATGTTTGTAGCTCATAACACTTTT